CGCAACAAGCGTGACTCGCTTGAACCTTTTCATACACGAGCCGCACGAATTCAGCTCTTCTTCTCTCCTCTCCATCCGTCCATGGATAGAGGTCCAAAATTTTTCGGATTTACTGACGCGACCGGCTGCGGCTTGATGCGTAAACATGGGTGGGTTACCAAGATGACACAAAAGTTAGAGGGAAACACGTACAACCTGTCGAATTAAGTGGGATTCATTCCGTGAGGAGACTCAACTCCTCTCCACTATAACTATTCCACTAATAATTTGGCGATTCAGAAATCCCCTCACTTCTCCGGACCCAACGTGTCCGTTGAAATGTCATCCAATGGTACAGATGTATCCTAGAACCGATAGAGTATAAGAAAATAAAGACTTACAAAAATAAATTACTTACAACCTACCTACCATCCAAAGCGAATGGTAAGCTCCCTTAAAAAAAAATCCATGTTTCAGATGAATCATGTTTCGAAAAAGTCTAACATGTGATTGTTGAAAAATGGGTCGACTGGTGAAACTGCAACCGAATTGAAGCCGACATCAGGGATAAAAAGGCACCGATTCACTGAGAGCATCGAGCCGCAGCCGGTCGCGTCAGTAAATCCGAAAAATTTTGGACCTCTATCCATGGACGGATGGAGAGGAGAGAAGAAGAGCTGAATTCGTGCGGCTCGTGTATGAAAAGGTTCAAGCGAGTCACGCTTGTTGCGTAGCTCATAATTGAAGGGGAAAAAATTTCAGTTGACATCCTCGACCGATTTTGTGATTTCAAGTTCATTCGAGGGATTTATCTCAAAATCGGTTTTTTGTGTGTTTTTGGCAAGGGATTTATTTTTCATTTTATTTTTTTTCCTTTCGAGTAAGTTTTTGGACATTATTGATAGATTATTCTTAGTGGACTTTGGGAATTCATCAAAGGTTTTTGCCTATATTATACTTAATTAAAAGGAAGTGACACGTCAATTTCCTCGACCGGATTTTTTGCCCGAAAAATGTTTTTGAGGGTTTTTGTAGTTTACTTATTTCACAATGATAAGAAGATATATGATACTTTTTAGATGAATGTCGTAATCCTCACTGCTTAGCTGGTTTGATCTTTGAATGATGCGCTTTGTTTTAGAATCAAATGAATGGACTGGAACGTGGGGCAAACATATGAAGTCTGTATGTTTCAAGACGCTAAAAGACTATCAAAAACTCAACCACTTCCCCGGTAGTTTTCAAATTGGTCGAAAAGATCGTCTTTGGAAAAACTTTTCCCGATTAATGAATAAATTTGGAAAAAAAGAGTAAGTTAGCTGTTCTTTTCTTTTTATGTTGATTTATTTGGAGTGAGTTTCTAATGCGTAAGTCATCTTGCTTTAGAGGTATTTTATAGGATAAAAAAAATCCATCTTTGATGTATCAAGACTGCTGCAAATAAGTTTAAGATCCTCATCAAAAGCTTTAATTCCGTCTTTATCCAGCAGTCAAGCACTACTTTTATTTGTGTGATAAGATATTTTTATGCTTTAAAAGACATTTTTCTCTTGCAGGTTCGGTTTCTCTCCAAAAACGTATGTGCTGCCTCAAGATACCAAGCTCCTACGATCTGCTTGGGAAAGACACTGTGGCAAAGAAAAATGGATTATTAAGCCGGTACTGTTTTTTAGTATGGTGTCAGAAAGACATTTCTTTTCACGTATGGACAACGGACATATGTCGTTTTGGCTATGTTCTAAATTACATGCCTACAAAAATTTGTTGGCGAGCATTGACACATCAGTGTTTTAGATTTGTTACTGAACATAGATAGATATATCTAGACTCAAATTATTTTTTTCGCCTTTTTACTAACAACTCCTGGACTTGGAATATTTTGCATTTTTCATCTGTAAAATTGGTTTATCATTCAACAGTGGGCGTATGAATTATTTATATTTTTTGATGGAAATAGTTGCGTATACCTTGATTTATATATTTTTTTAACTTTTTCTCTGAAAATTGCTAAAGTGACACTTTTTTCATTAGACTAGTCATCCTAAATTACTTTTTTTTCTTTTTCTTTTTTGCTGTGAGTTGAAAAAGTTGTAACGGACCTGCAGTTGCGATTTATTTTCTCTTTTTTTTTTCTTTGGACCTCTCTTTAAAAACGTTCGTTCTCTTTAAAAACGTTACGTCTTGGTAACGTTCCTTGACAATATGTTCCTGTGTGTACTTTTACCAGGTCGAGAAATCATGTGAGGAAACAGGAAACTATCACTGTTGTTAACTAGATTTACTAAAAATTGCCAAAGTGCCAGTGTTGCTAATATTGTGTGAGCATCTGTTTCATACAACTGGAATGCAGGAGCCTGAAAGAATAAATGAAACTGAAGCTGTAGATCCATGTCAAGGAAGGACGTCATTTAACATTCGGATGTTGCCAAATACCTCTTGGTATACTATTTACTTACAGAAAAGTTTATGAATTTTGAATTTAGAGTTTTTCTTGCAATTTGATCTAGGTTAAGTAGTTCACGAAGCCCTGAAAATCATATTTTATCAGATTTAATTTGGCAACTGCTGAATGTTCTCTCAGTGGTTTTCTCATCACAGCAAGACAATTTAAGACGCTTACTGGGGCTTAATTTACGTCCTTCCATTCTTTATTCAAAATTAATCCAAAATGTTCCTAATCTCTCCTCTTTCTTTGCTTTATATATCAGTTAATGTTCATGTTTCGCTTTTTCCAAGGTTTTTAATCAGTCCTTTTTGGGGTCTTTTTTCAGCCTGCCTCTGCCCGTGGAACCGGTATCAAAGTAATCAACAAATGGGGCCATATTCCCAGAAAAGTGCCGCTTGTTGTTCAGAAATATATCGACAAACCGTATCTAATCAATTCTACCAAGTTTGACCTAAGACTTTACGTCCTTGTCACTTCTGTAAATCCCCTTAAAGCGTACATGTATGACAATGGTCTCGTTCGATTTGCGTCTGGTAAGTATCCATACCTGTCACGAATCAACGGGAGGGGAAAGGGGGGGTATGTGTTCATTCTAATGTAAAAACTTCAATACTGAAGTCAACAAAATAAATCCATAAATCACACAGGTCTTCTCCGAAAAAAATGTTGTATTCTAGATGATTTCAGAGTAATTAATGCTGAGTGACCTGTTTTTTCCTATTTCCTACCAATTTTTCCGGCAAATCAAGATTTTCCTCCAGATTTTTTGGAAAAAAAACTGATGTCTTCGAAAAGTGTATAGAAGAAAAAAAGCAATATCATCTTAAGATTCAGCAGTCAAAAGAACTTAGGAAACCATGCTACATGCCTGAGCAATAAGCCTGAACGAGGTGTGGGCTGAGGAGCATGCAAGGGGATTGAAGCCACTGCATCGGGCCTGTGCGGTGCAGCTTGCATAGAGGGAATTTCTTGCAAACGAATTATTGACCATATTTTTTCACTTTATCATACATGATGGTCAATCGTTAAATCGCCAGACTGCATTAACATGTTCCTTGGGTCAAAAGAAAACTTTTTCTTTCATTTAATTTTTTACAAAAGTGCTGTTTAAGAGGTCCACAGTCTCTTCCAAAGTTCTAGGAATCGAATTGTTTTTTCTGCATGTTGGCAACTGTAATGCACAGAATTTCATGATATTTGGTATGCACACATAATTCGATATTCTGAGTTCATTGTTGACATTAGAAAAATTGAAATCTCAGTTCAAAGTAGGGTTTCAGGGGAGTCTTTGACTTGAAAGCGTCAAGAACTTGGTTTTCTGGCTTATAGAGGTTGTAAATTGTGGGCACATCAAAACCCCATTTTCAACTGAGATTCAAACAATTCTAACGTCATTACTGAATTCAGTGCATCAAATTATTGGTGCCTACCAATTTTTATGAGATTTGGTGCATAAGTGTTGTCAAAATACAGGAAAAATAATTTTTTTCCTAGAACTTGGGGAGGGGGGGGGGGTGGGAGCTGACGTTACTTTAAAAATCACTTTCGGAGGTTAAATTCTATTCTGTTATGAAACAGGCTTATTTTGGCCCATAGAAAACGCTCCTGGATTCTGGCAGTTTAACCTCATCAGATCACCCTGTGGAGGTGAAATACAAAGAAGTAAAAAATTAGAATTTTCATCAGGAAAAATGCTGGAATATCATGTGCTCTAGCAAGGCTCCTGAGTATGAAGAGGATACTCTTTGAGGGGGAAATTTTTTTAATGTCAGGTCAAGGCTCAAGAGATGGGAAAATGAGTTTTGAATATCTCATTAAAAGCTTTCTCCGAAATTCTGAAGGAAGACACTGCAAGTGGTGCAAAATTGCCAGTTTTTGTAATAAACTTATGATACTCTACATTACATGACATCACAATGTCAAATTGAACAAAGGGGTCAACTTTTACCATCATCTTACACTCGAACCTTCAGGTGATTTTTTTCATTTTTGTGCCAGCAGTAAGTGTGAAATTGAATTTTTGTCAACAATGAACTCCAAGATAGCATACAAAAATAAAAACCACAACATATTCATGTTTCTTCATCCAAATTTTACGTAAAATACGATGTTTGCAACATAACTTACCAAATTCAACTCATCATGTAGAAAACATTGGTTTTCACCTACATTATTTCACACTTCCTGCTCACAAAAAAAAAGGAGTCTACTCAAGCTGAATCAAGCACTCAAATAATTTTGGTATGTTTTACCATTTAAGAATTTTTCTATGCACTAACTTTTTTGGGGGCAAAATCAAGATATCTTGCATCAAAAGAGGGAAAGATGTGTGTGAGTCCAAGATCAAGTTATTTGCCTACATAGGCTGTCCCAAAACAACTGGCACTAAGTCTGTCATTCAGGAACTACAATAAATATCGATATGCGGTTTACGGGAGGTGATAGCTCATACTGTTAGCTCTTAAACGAGCCTAAGTTGAGCTAATTTGGTTAAAAACTCAACGAGTTACATCGATTTTCCCGAGACGTGTAAGAAATACCCCTACGGAATTTTTCGGTAATTTTTCATTCCTTAACTTTGCCTCCGCAAGCTGTGAAATTGGTTCAGACGTTATGAATCAAGTTTCCACTTCTCTGTATGCAAGTTTCCACTTGTCAGCAAGTGTTTCCATCACAGCCGAGAAGTTTTTTTCTGTTTGCAAAGTCAGTTTAGTGAAATTGTCCAGCCTGATAACGCGTTTTTTTGTGTTTCGTCATGAGTTCACCCGCGGAGTTGAAGCAAGAGCAACGATACGCAATTCGATATTGCGTTCGTCGTGAATTATCTGCTTCTGAAACACTTCTAAGCCACTGTCATTTCATTCACAGTTTCAGAAGCAGATAATTCACGACGAACGCAATATCGAATTGCGTATCGTTGCTCTTGCTTCAACTCCGCGGGTGAACTCATGACGAAACACAAAAAAACGCGTTATCAGGCCGGACAATTTCACTAAACTGACTTTGCAAACAGAAAAAAACTTCTCGGCTGTGATGGAAACACTTGCTGACAAGTGGAAACTTGCATACGGAGAAGTGGAAACTTGATTCATAACGTCTGAACCAATTTCACAGCTTGCGGAGGCAAAGTCAAGGAATGAAAAATTACCGAAAAATTCCGTAGGGGTATTTCTTACACGTCTCGGGAAAATCGATGTAACTCGTTGAGTTTTTAACCAAATTAGCTCAACTTAGGCTCGTTTAAGAGCTAACAGTATGAGCTATCACCTCCCGTAAACCGCATATCGATATCTATTGTAGTTCCTGAATGACAGACTTAGTGCCAGTTGTTTTGGGACAGCCTATGTACTATATAAGATGATTTTCATGCCTAATTAGGCCTACTTTGATTATGGTTTTTTCACAAGTGGGAAGTTTGAATTTAATGTTAACAATGTAAAGTGCAAACATTTATCTCTATCTGTCAGCCTCCAGTCATGTTACTCCTTCCAATTAAACCTTGGATTACTGCAGCCATTTTAGTTTCCATCAAGCACAGGTACAAACTCAAATTAAAGACTACAGTGAAACCTCGGTAACTCGGTTTCCATCGGGACCGAGGAAATTTACCGAGTTAAGCGGGTTACCGACTTAGGCGGAATGCCACTTTTCCTGCCGCGCTTTTTCGAATTTCGCGCCCTAAATTGGACAAACGCAAACGTGCGTGTAGAGTGACTCATAGGAGTGTTTTGGAGAGCCATTTGATCGAAGAAAATGGTACTAAATGGTAAAATTTCATGAAATGCACTTGAAATTGCGTGTTGAAAGTGTCAGGCCATCATGAAGTCATCGGGTTAATCGTATGTTGGGGTGCCGCGGCACCCCATCGCGTATCACCCCCCGCGCACCCCACGCGGCATGCCGCGCGGTGATGCGCCGCGGCCGCCCGCTATGGCGGGTCGTTGCACTGAAAATGCAACGTATCAATACTCGCTAAAATCCCCGAAAAACTCTGCGGAAGATTCCTGGGGGGAGCGGGGAAGGGCAATGCAAGATGGTAGGGGGAGAGGGGCCGGTGCCGACTGGACCTGTCAACTCATCGATGCGTGAAATTGCTTAATTATGCATGCGTGTTTTCACACGCGCGATAAGATAACACGCGGTATCAGATATCCTATTCTCTACTGTTCTCATCTTTCGTGTTGTTATCGAGTGTTTTTGATTCCTTATTTCTCTATTTCCGATGTCGTTTCTCGCACTGCGCTGCGCTCTCTCGGAGATTCGCTCACCCTTCGTGGCGTAACTTGACCCGACCCGCACCGCGCACGGGTACCTACGCTTGATCTTGGGTGACGATCGAAGAAAAAAAGGTCGAGATGGAAAAATTTCACCGAGTTAAGCGGGTTCAGAATCTGACCAAACCGAGATACCGAGACTTATTTAGCATTGTGTTATATGGGTGATAAACGGGACCGGGCGATTCTACCGACTAAAGCGGGTTACCGGCTTATCCGGGAACCGACTTACCGAGGTTTCACTGTAATTGTAAACCACTTGATGAAGAATTATCCTGGAAATACAGGAAGTACAGAAACCCACTCAATGAGATTGAAAAAAAAAAGCTAAAAACAACTTTTTAATGACCAAATGAAAAGAGCTCACAACAACACTAGAATAAAGTGGAAAATACTACGAGAAGTTGTCAATCTTGGTGATAGAAAAACTACAAACGTAATTTCTAAACTGATCGTGGAAAATGACTAAATTTCTTTCGCTAACAATCTCAAAAAAATATTAACACGCTTAACCATCATCTCTCCACGGTCAGGGCTAAGACTGCAGCAATATTTTAGTTATTTATTTATTTTATTTATTTATTTATTTATGTTCCACTTTCAGGAGGAGAAATGAATATTTTAAAGTACATGCATAAAAATCACAGCCCAACTCATTATTTTTGGATCCTGTGACTAAGACTGAAGTCAGCAGCTTTATACTCTCACTGAGGGGGGTGGGGGGATCTGCACCAAGCTTAGATAATCTTACAGTAGAATTATTGGAAGAGATAGAAAAACACATCATAAAACCTCTTGTGCATATTTTTAATGTAAGCTTAACCACAGGCATTTTTCCATCAAGGTTCAGAGAATCTGAAGTCATGCCACTGTTTAAAAAAGGAGACAGTAAAGTTGTCTCAAATTATCGCCTTATCTCTTTTACATCAAACTTAGCCAAGCTATTAGAAAAAGTAGTAGTAAAGAAAAGATTGTCAAGTTTCCTCGAAAAATATACAATTTTATCAAACATTCAGTATGGCTTTCGTCAGAATGTCAAAAGGCAATAAGCCTGTGCTATTTCTGCTTGATGTACATGTAATGGGTCCGCTGTTCTGACGCCAAAGGGTGGTTCGTTGCCAAAGGGGGGCGCGCAACTCAAATGGAGAGCCAAGGGAGAGAACTCGGGGTGATTACAAACTACACTTTTATTCATAGATGAGACATATACGCAGATCAAACGCTATCGGTACGAAGACCCTGCTTTTCCGCCCGTCCCA